ACAATTTCATATTCACTATCACATTAAAGGGACAACTTAGCATTTTAAAACCTCTATAGATTAATCTTACCTTGATGCCCATTATTATCCTTTATTAGATGTAACTGTGGCTATGTTGCTCTCTATGTGTTTCTTTATCAATCAAGTGTCTCTCTTAGAGTTATGATTACATAAACAAGGATTAGAACAATGCCTGGCTTGTCCTATTAACTCAAGTTTGATGCATAATATGCATAGGTAAAGAAGCTTAAAAATCAACATCTCTCTCTAGATCCTTTCTAAGGTGAAAGAGGACCTCTAGTGAGTGTGTTAATAATTTGTTATTTTCTTATAGTTGAACCAACAAATGGCATAAGCTTTAGGACTCAATAAATGTTTTATTTGCTATTATTAAACCAAGAAAGCAGGGTTTTGCCTTTTCTCTGCCCCTTCATTTTTTTCCACTTATCTATTTAACACAGGCAATGTTGCATATTAGATATTATTTAAAAAAGTAAGATTCCGCCGGGCGGTGGTGGCGCACGCCTTTAATTCCAGCACTTGGGAGGCAGAGGCAGGCGGATCTCTGTGAGTTCGAGACCAGCCTGGTCTACAGAGCTAGTTCCAGGANAAACCCTGTCTTGAAAAACCAAAAAAAAAAAAAAAAAAAAAAAAGTAAGATTCCTTCATGTTGCTATGTTTAGCATTCACAAATTCAACAACAAAAATTAAGAGTCAGAACCAAGTTCCATACAAAATGATACAGGGATTCAAAGAAAAGAAATATTGAATATTTATGTAATCAAAGGCTTTATGGAAAGAATGGCATTTGGGATGGACTTAAAGAGTCAAGTATGCTAGGTCATGCCTATAATCCTAGCATTTGAAAGCTCTGGAAAGTGAGTCATGCGTTAGAGACCAGTGTGGTCAATACAGCAAAGCTCTATCTCAAAAGAAAGAACCAAAGTGGTGGCCTACACCTTAAATACTAACATTCAGAAGACAAGACAAGAGGCAGGGAAATCTCTGTGAGTTTGAGGCTAGCCTGGTCTAAGCAGCAATTTCTAGGCCAGCCAGAGATAAGACAGTGAGGTCTTAAGCGATAAGGTAAGCAGACAGCACGTGCACGGTGTGCACGGTGACGAGAGACCCGGAAAAGTTGGCTAAGACTTCATTTATCCAGGCTCAGCTGCTCTCAAGTACCAAGGTGTGAACCTTCCTCAACGTGTGCCATCCTATTTGTCATAACTACATGGAATCACTACTTAACTAGGTCTTTTGGAACACACATGATTAAGAAATATGTCTCACAGGTATTTCTGATTACTCTTTAAGAGGGAAAACACTTTTGGACTGGCATGTTTTTACTTAAATTTCAATTTCCTAAATTCCAGACCCATCCCATTTTATGAAACAAGAAAGAAAATGGAAAACTATTTGGACTTATCTACATAACTAAACAGGAGGAAAAGAACAGATGTTGAAAACTAACTCTTGTTTAAATTATCAGGTAAATTACGAAGGGTTCAAATTACAAAAGACACATACTTTAAAAAACATGCGTGATCCATAGTGTGAATGTATGTATTCAGTATAAAGTTCCTTTGATGAGGCTACAGTAGAACACTTACCTAGCATGCATGATGCCACTGGGTTTGCTCTCTAGTAATGTCCAAAAGTAAACAAAGCACTTTGTAGAAAACATAAGCTAGCCATATGGCTCAGACTGTGAAGTGCTTGTTATACATGCATGAAGACCTGAGTTTGATCCCTAACACCCAAATAAGAATGCCAGGCACAGTGGTGGCATATTCCTAGGGCCAGAGAAGTGGAGACAAGAGGATCTTTGGGGCTTGCTGACCAACAAGTCTAGCTAAATTGCAAGCTCTGGGTTTACTTTGACACCCTGTCTAAAAAAACAGGGTGGAGAAGGATTGAGAAAGACACCAATTTACATCTCTGGCCTCCAGGCAGGTGTACTCATATGTACACACAAACACATATGTAAATAAAAGTTCCCATAAAACATATATATATAACTATATATGTATATATGTGTATATATTTGTTAACCATACACACACATATATAACTATATATATATATTTTTTTTTTCAAGACAGGGTCTTACTATGCAGCTCTGTCTGTCCTAGAACTCATGGTATAGATCAGGCTGGCCTGGAATTCACAGCTATCCACGGGCCTCTGCCTCCCAAGTGCTAGGATTAAAGGTGTGGACCACTACACTGAATAATCATATAACCATACATTCTTAAACTTCCAGAAAATTTTCTTTAGAGCTGTTAATAGAATTTTTACTCACACATTGATAGTATATACACAGAACAATCAAAATGAAAACAATTCCCTTTTAATGGACATAATCAATATATTCCTATACATTTAAATGCAAGAGAGTTCTCCTTAAAAAATGATTCTGGGAGACAGGGCCTTGCTATTAAGGTAAGTTAGTTGGCCTGGAACTTGCAATCCTCCTGCTCTGCCTCCTGGGTGCTAGAATTACATGAATATACAATTGTGCCTGCCTTCCAGGTTCAGATTCACATTATACTTCAGATGCTAATCTGAATAAAATAGATCACAAAGCATGAGCTCTTTTTTCATCTGTCATTCCAATCTCTCACTCTGCAAAAAGTGATGATCAAGAAGTCAAAAGTAAGACGGGCGATAGTGGTGGCACTAGCCTTTAATCCCAGCATTAAGGAGGCAGAGGCAGGAGGATCTCTGTGAGTTCATGGCCAATCTGGTCTATAGAGTGAGTTCCAGGACAGCCAGCGCTACACAAAGAAATTCTGTCTCAAACAAACAAACAAATCAAAAGTATAGGTTGTTTCATAAAACACTTGAACCACACACTGATATAGCGGTCTGCTTCTCATCTAATGGCAAGTAACGAAACTCTCAGAATCAGGAGAGACAACCCATTTTACAACCATTTGAAAATGCAAACTTATTATACAACGTGTTCACTACAGATTCTTAAATTATAAAGATACATTAATCTCAATAAACACTGGGGAGCTTCACTCAACTGCAAGCATTATATTAAAATTTCAAGAATGATCACAGCATCAAACACAACATAATTTTCTACTATGTAAATAAAACTTAACACTTGGAAGCTTTGTATCTGACATACTGAAGTCTGGCCCAGGCCTTCTCTCTCCAGCTAAAGACACTGTAATAGCCTAATCTCAAACAATTCCAGAAATGATGTTCAAGAACACTGGCAGCAGAGTGATTTCTTAATGGCCAATAGCACATGACTTGGTATCTTATGACCAGCTTGTTAAGGGACCAGCCCCAACTCTCCCCCTGGAAACACTGCTAGCTCTAAGCATTTCTTAAAGTTTAACAGGAAAGGACAGGGAAGTCAAAAGGGCTGAGTCTTTCCACAACAAAAATGTAAAACACAAAATCCCTCATTTACAGCCCTACAAATGCTATCTGGGCTTTTAAAAAAACGTGAAAAGAAGCTTTTAAAAGTACAGGGGGTGCGAGTGTGTGTGTGTGTGTGTGTGTGTGTGTGTGTCTGTGTGACAAAAATGTCCTTCCTTAGTGCACAAATACTGTATTATTAAATAATGCTCCTTTTCCTTAACTTTATAAAGGTCGGTCTTCACTATGACACGTTCCAACTTACTATTAATATTTCTTATCCAAGCGTGACAATTCAATAGCTCTTTTCTGAACTTGGGTAAGGAGGGGTAAAGTACAAAAGTGCTGCACACGCTTTCTACACTCAAGATCACTCACACTTCAAAGTTTACTATCTCAGATTTTAAGGCCAAACCCAGGCTTGCCTAAACCCGCTAGAGCTGCACACCAACCCACCCCGCCCCAAGATATTCTGGTGGGGACCTCTGAAACAATATAGTTTGAAAGGTCCATGTAACCGCTCTCGCGTCCAGGACTTCAGACACCACGGTTGCCCAACCCAGATTCCTACACTCCAGACAGCTGCCTCCTTGGCTTCCAAGTAACCAGATGCACCTTGCCTTCCAAACCGGATCGCAGATTGTACACGCTTTCCAAGGTCCTCGGTCCTTGGAAAAGCTGACAAGTTCCTGGGGACTGGGAGTATTGAGGTGGGGGGGGGGGGCAGTTCCAAACGTCTCCTATCCCACCGCTGGTCAAACACTCATTCCAGGCGGACCTTTCGGCCCCGCACCCCAGCACATTCCGCAGCCCCCGCCCCGGGACAGTGGGTGCCTCCAGTCCAGCCCCACCCCAGGTCCAGAGCGGCTCCCCTCGCCTCGCGGCAGGTGAGTCCCGGCAGCGGGTCCCCGGCCCCCCGCAGGCTGCTCACCTTGCTGAGGACCCCGCAGCGCTCTATAGGCGGCCCAGACTCCGTCTCCGGATCCTCCTCCGAGCCCGACGAGTTCCAGCTCTGGTTATCCGACATGGAGGCGCGACAGGCGAGCAGGAGACCGGCCCCCGCTCCGCGAGCTGCGCCAGTGCAGGCGCCCAGTCCCTGGAGTGAAGGGTCGGGGGATGGCACAGCCAAGAGTACCCGCTCCGGGGCGTGCAGGAACAGGAAGAGGGACGGAGCGCGCCCGCTGCGCCGCCGCCGCCGCGCCTGACACCGAGCGGACCAGGGAAGGAGGACGAGCGGCGAAGAAAGCCTGCCCTTCCAGCCGTCAGCCGCCGTGGCCGTGACCCCTGCGCTGCACCCGGCGCCGCCACCTGAACTCGGCCCCCTAGGTGCCAACCTCAGTCAGGGAGGGAGGAGGGAAGAAAGACGGGAAGAGCCAAGCCAACGGCAGAGACCCAGGTCCGCTCACACCTCCGCTACCGCCGCCATCTTCCTGCCGGGCCCACTATTTACCCTCCCTCCCCTCGCCGCTCCCTCCCCTCCGTCCTCCCATCCTCCCTCCACCCCGCCCCGAGCCCCTCCCGGCGGCTCACGACGCTCCCTACCTCCGGCCCTCCCGGGTGACGACGGGTAGGGAAGGAGGCGGAGCGGGGAGAGGGGAGAGCTTGACAGGGAAGCCGCTGCGCTGCATTCTGGGAAGGCGGCCGCTCGGTCCGCCGCGCAGCCTCCTGGGAGTTGTAGTCGCAATCCTAGGCAACTGGTGGGTGTCCCGGGCGCGCGGAAGGCTGGTTTCCTGGGGGAACCTTCTGAGGGCCAGTGGTCTTCTTTTGACAGTTGTGTGGCCCTTCCGTCCAGCCGGGCTTCTGATTCCGCCTTGCTTGTTTATGACGATCCCTCGATCCCTACTAACCAGGACGTGAGAACCCTAAGGTGAGGTTGTCGGGTTGTGCGCAGCTGCTTTCCGGAAAGCCCGGGAACATCTTTGCGACTTGCCTGGGCAAGGATGTCAGGGGTTCAGCCACTTCACTATGGGCTGGAGGTTGTGACATCTCCAGTCACAAACTGAAGGTTTTTCCTCAGTGCCACGGCTAATCCCGAAGCACTGCTGTCTATCTCGTTAGTAATTAGACTTAATACTTGAGGCTTACTGCTGTTGAGGGAAGAATTCCTTCAGACTGTTTTCATAAGCGTTTCACATTGTTAAATTTATAGAATTTAGCCGGGCGGTGGTGGCGCACGCCTTTAATCCCAGCACTCGGGAGGCAGAGACAGGCTGATATCTGTGAGTTCGAGGCCCGCCTGGTCTACAAGAGCTAGTTCCAGGACAGACAGAGCTACACAGGGAAACCCTGTCTCGAAAAATGTAACAAATAAACAAAAAATTATAGAATTTTTATATTGTGGAAAGTAATGTTGAGGTTGTCAGAGAACAAATAACGTTGAAAAAGGTTTTTATAAAAAGTGAAATAAATCAGATTATATCCTTAAATTTTCTCTTAGGTGTGAACAGCGTCTTTCCGAAACTCACGTCAAGGTCTGTTTTCCTCCCCTAATACAGGAAAGGCTTTTCTATCATAAAGGTTGAAACGCAAGTTTTATTGACCGAGAAGGAATTAGACAATAGGTGGCTATCAATTTCCTGATAACTCCTAACTTTGAAATTCCTTATTAAAGTGTAGAAAGAATTTCTGTTTGCTACCCATTTGGGAAGGTAAGAGGACATTTGAGTGTGGGGATTAAGGCACAATGGCAAGGAGGAGACTCTGCCTACTGACAGGAAGTGGCTCTGAGAAGTACTTGCGACCATCTTCATTTCTGTAGATTGGGGCCAAATACAGTAGATTCTAAATCAGTTTCCTTTGTAAAAATAATGGCAGTGCACCATTAAAAGACATTCAAACGAATAAAATTTTAAGAGATAAAGCTTTTAAGAATGCCTTGTCAGCCGCACGGTGGTGGCGCACGCCTTTAATCCCAGTACGTGGGATGCGGAGGCAGGAGGATCTCTGTGAGTTCGTAGGCCAGCTTGATCTACAAAGAGAGTTCCAGGACAGCCAAGGCTGTTACACAGAGAAACTCCTGTCTCAAAAACAGAAAGAGAAAATTTAAATAAATAAAGAAAGAAAACCTTGTCAAGCTGTTAAAACATAATCCAAGGTTATCGTTCAACACACACAGAGCTACTTTGTGAATTGCCAAGAGTATGCATTTAGAATGGTTTGCTTTGCTTCGTGAATCTAATGTGGTTGAGACTTTCTAATTCTTGTACTAGACTTTAGAATCATTGCTCTTAAGTAAAATGGTTGTGAATATTGAGAAAGTCGCTTCATAATGCAATTTAGAACCCTAGAAATAGTGTTACATTTAATTCTGGAATTGAACCTTCTATTGTATTTTCAGCCTCACCTAGGTTTGAATAATTGTGACCACCAACACCCAGCTCCCACTTACTCAGTTGAAAATTGCTTCATTATATTTAGTATTAATATATGAGACATTGCCTTGCTACATTGGTCCATTGTACTAAAGGCTAAAGTAGTTTAAGTACAGAAGATTTTTGTATACCGACTAGAGTGACACCTTAGAGATTTGTGATTTCCATTATTACAGTTGGAGGAAGGAAATAGCGGTTCAAAGATGACGTACTTTATTTATTTCATAATAAATATAGATGATAGCTTCGTAGTTGTGTGTCTTACAGAGGGCTTCTCTAATCCTTGTGTAGTATTCTTTATTTTAATTGGCTTCATTTTTAGACCCGTATACCATGGAATTTATTTTAAAATACAGAATAGGGTAGGAAATTAATTATTGTTGGGTTTTGTTTGTTTGTTTTGCAAATGGGCATTTATTTGGGCCCAGCATGTTATTGAACAGTCTATTCTTACTCTGATACAAATATGCTACTTTTATGGTATATAAAAATCCCCATATATAGTCCTGCTACTGGACAGCATTCTTTTTCATTGATATATTTATATCTATACCAGTATTTTACTGACTTAATTAACTGTTTAGTTTTCATATACAATTAATAAATTTTTATGATATTCTTTTTCATTTGGATGCTTTTCATATCTTCTCTTCCAAATGAATATGAGGGTAGCTTGTTGAAATGTTTAAAAAAAATGTGGTTTGATTTGGGACTAGGAAGATGGCTCAGTCAGTGAAGTTCCTGATGTTTAAGCATGAAGTTTTGAGTTCAGATCCCTAATATCCTCGTAAAAGCCAGGCAAGGCAGTACACATAGTAATTCCAGAGCCATCTAACTAGAGACATATAGAACCCAAGAGCTTACTAGCCTGCCAGCCCAGCTGAAATAATGGGTTCCCAGGATCTGAAAGAGACCGTCCTTGTCCTAAAACAAGGTGGAAAGCCATTAAAGAAAATACTCAAAGTTAACCCCTAGCTTACACATTCTCTCTCTCTCTCTCTCTCTCTCTCTCTCTCTCTCTCTCTCTCTCTCTCTCGTGCGCACACACGTACATATACATGAAATAACGAAGTATGAAGATTTGAATTATAAAGCAATTACGTCCTTACAGTATTATTTATATTAGCCAGACACCTTAAGTATGTGATCTGACTTTTATCTTAAAAGTCTTGTAAGTGGAGCATTGCTGGTCCTATTGTCCCATAAAGAATGAACTTAAGCACGGGGAGGCTGAGTCACTTACCCAATGTTTCATGGCTACTAAGTGGCAGAGTTAAGATTAGAACCCAAGACTCATTCACTTCCAAGCACCTTTTTCTGTGCTTTTTAATGTATCACTGGGAGACAATGGATAAAAAAATGTATTCTATAGATAAGTGCATCCAAGCCACTATATGAAAATGTGTTCTGTAGATTAGAAATCCAAGCCACTATATGTGTGTGTTCTATAGATAAGACAGCAAAGCTGCAATATATAAAAACAATGTTTTGTAGATAATAATCCAACCCTTATAGATGAAGCACTATATAGTTCTATAAATAAAGCACTCAAGCCACTATATAAGAAATGTGTTCTATAAATAAGGCATCCAAGCCAATATATATATAATGTTCTATAGATAAGACCATACAAGCCATATATTTAAAAAAGTTCTGTAAATGAGACATTTAAACCACTATATTAAAAAGTGTGTTCTATAGATGAGACCATACAAGCCATATATTTAAAAATGTGCTCTATAGATGAAGCATTCAAGCCACTATATTTTTTAAAAATAATGTTCTATAGATAAGGTATCCAAGCCACTCTATAAACAAAATGTGTTCTATAGATAAGGCATCTAAGCCACTATTTTAAAAATGTGTTCTATAGATAAGACATCCTAGCCACTATAAAAATATATGTTCTATAGATAAGGCATCCAAGCCACTATATAAAAAGATGTGATCTATAGATAAGAATACAAGCCACTCTATAAAAAAGTGTGTTCTAAAGATAAGGTATCCAAGCCACTATATATATTTTTTTAAAGATGTGTTCTATAGATAAGATATCCAAGTCACTATATTCTTTTTAAAAAATGTGTTCTGTAGATAAGGTATCCAAGCCGCTATGCTTTTAATTCAGCCAGCGACTCTTAGCATTTCCCGATTGTGTCCTCTGCTGTCTTATTTGCCTAACATCTGTTCTGTAGATTTCATTATTCCCTTCTATTTCTAATATTTGAGATGAATGACTTAATCGCAGAAAAGTTAAATAATTTCCCATAAGTCATAGTAAAGATGTGTTTGGGGTTTGAGCCCAAAATACAGATTTCAGAGTTCCTTCTTAACCCACTTGAGTTTTCCCTCAATTCCCTCTGCTAATTCTTCCACCTCAACTCCCTCTAGTATAAAGTACCACCACCAAAAACTATGACCAGCTAAAAGTGGAGGGATTTTGTAAGAGCCATGATTTTGCAATCTTCAAAATAAAGGTGTTAATTTGTGAAATAGAGGTGCTAATCTATGAACCATGGCAGTCTAAAAAATCAAGCTGCATGGAGCCCTAATCCTGCTTTCCAATTGGCTGTTTGGAGGATTGTTAGTTAGAGGCCAAGCCTAGGCTACATGCCAAGACCCTGTCTCACAAAACCAAACAAACAAATCTAGAGAAGAGGTGAACTAAATATAGCATATTAATAGTATAGCTATATTGGTAACCCTATTTTCATGACTGGAATAATTATCTAGGTGGTGGTAGTAGCAATCATTCAAGCTTTCTTCTGTATTATTTTATATGGAAAACACCCCCAAATATATGCATGGTTATGAGTGTGGGTGTATGTTTATACTAGTTAAAGTGTCCTGGCACCTCTTCAAACCCAGTCCTGTAAATTAACTTTCAACTTACGGTTATTTGTCTTTTTAATCCCTGCCCCAAGTATTTTCTTCTCCATGGCTGAGAGAAATAATGATCGTAGCAGATCTTTCCTCACCCTGTTGATGTCTGTTTTTTCATTTTGTAGGGGAGACAAGTGCTTTACTTAACCCAAGCTAGCCTAAGCATGTTGCTAATTCTCCTGCATCAGTCTCACAAATGCTGGGATTACGAGTGTGAGCCACGGTGTCCACCTCTTCATTCTTCATGTTACGATGCATAGTGATTAAATCACACCTGCTGTCTACCAAGAAAGGACTTTGTGACACATCCCCATTGAGAAGCACTAATGTAATATTGTTGTTCATTTGGTTTGGTTTGGTTTGGTTTGGTTTGTTGCAATTGTCTGAATCTCTTTGGGGATAGATTTCTACTGGGATTCTGAGTTTACCGTGTATTAGATTACACTCCGTCATACTGTGTCTTGAGTTCCCCGTCCTTGCTTCAAGGGTTTCCAGTAGAGAGACAACAGTAGAGTAGGACCTGAACAAGCGATTGTAAGGAGGTGGTGGACAGTTATGGTTTCAGAATGAGTCACAGGGGGACAGCAATTTAATTATTTATTATGGTTGACCA